ACACCACTAAGCACTACTACAGCCACGGAAAAGTCCGCTACTTGTTGTTTTAGTTTAATACAATATTTTTACTGAACTCATAAACCTACCAAGAGCTGAGATGTGACAAATAACTCAAGAAGGGAGGGTACCATGGAGGCTACCACCACTCAGGAACTACTGTGCGGTGTTGAAGTGTAGAAAGAAAGCAACAACTTATGGAAAGATACTGAAACATACTGAATCCATGCCCATTTATGCCATTTGATAATCTGGGGGTTTAAAGGGCCCTTCAATTCAGGGCCCTTTAAACCCCCCATGTCGGGCACACACCTGACTTACTTGCCCCTCCGGCAGTGGGAAGGGGAGGGCAAACTGCCGGCGGGTGGAATGGTCCCTGGGCTGTGGGGATGGGCTGGTGCTTCCCGCCACGGCAGCAATGCCCCCCCCCCAAAAGTGGCACCTGCCCACAGGCATCCAGCTTGGGAGGTCCCAGGGGGCACCGCAGCCACGGAGGGAAGCACGAGGCCCACGCACAGCTCAGGCAGGCAGGCAGGCTCCAGGGGTGGGGGGGAAAGATCAGGCTCGCTGCTTTTTTTTTTTTTTTCCCGGGGGGGGGGGGGCCCCTGCCTGCCCGGGCTGCTGCCAGACTGTCTGCAGGGCTTCCTGCAGAGCCCCTGAGCTGCACGGAGCCCGGTGCTTCGCTCCATAGCTGTAGGAGCAACAAACTAAAACTCCTCAGAGGAGTTGTAGTTTGCTAAGCCCCAAGTCATTTAACGTACATTACACTGCCGAATTTCCTATAGTGGCTGGAATTAAAGCGCAATACACCACTGAGGTGTGCAAACCCTGACATCATTAAAGTGGTGCAAAAGCATTTAGCCTGCTTTAAAGTGTCGTACACACATGCCCCTTGTTTCATCTACACACAGCCATCGAAGAAAAACTCAGAGAGAAATATACTGAGTTTTATTTAAAAACCCACCTGGGCACAACAGGCCAAACACTGAGAAAGACTTCCTCTACTGTTTTGAGTGACCCGACCCACCAACCTCCAAGCACAAAAGAACCTTTCACCCATGGCCAGCATGGCCCAAATGAGACACACCCAGACAGATTCTCATCCAACTAAGCTCATTATCTGTGTTTGAGAGTAAACACATGGAGTAATGTGGAACACTGGGGAGTGAGCCTTCCTGTTTGTAATAGCTCCACACACCTGCCTGCCCCAAGCACGCATTGACTCTTCAGTATCTTACTGAATAAATAATTTTCATTGGTAAGGCTAGGCTGAATCTTTAGGAAAATTCTGGATCAGGATCATTTGGAAAAATCTGAATCTTCAAATACTAACTGGGAAGTGGCCTAAACGTATGAAAGGCATGCTGAGTCATATAGACAAACTTTGGTTTCCAAGAATAAACCCCCCACCCCGCCTGCCACACATACACACACACACAACCCTGCATGGTCCTTAGGACCTAAATCTAGTCCTTAGAGCAAAGGTTATGGCAGCTATGTTTTGTTCAGCATGAAGATTTTTAAATTTTGTTCAGGCAGCAGGGGCATGGGGAAAGGGGAGCCAGAGAACAGCATGACTGCATTACTTTTCTCCTCAGTGAACTATTTTTCCCCTTTAAGTATAAAAACATGATGCTCTTGATTCAACAATGAATGTCACCACTTTGGGTTATAATACACCCATCTGCAAGAACATGCAAAGAGAAAAATAAAAGGGCAAAAAAGAACATTCTTCTTCAGCTCCAAGAGCAGTCTGGAAAATCTTCTGTTCAAACACAAATTTGCCAGATCCTCAACTGACAAAAACTGGTGGATTTCTCAAAATAATGCATTGTCAGAAGGGAGATGATAGCCTGCATTGGCATAGGGGTAAGTTCTGGTCAGTTTGGTCTGAGCACAGTAACTTATGATTGAGTCAATTTTGTTAGGGTCTTACAAACTGCAGCACAGACAGAAATACCCAAGCTAGTATCCAAGTATATATCTGGGTTCCTAAGTGGGCTGGGATAGCCTATGCTGAAACTTATGTCATTGCATGTTCCCCGCTATTGCTACCCAAACTAACCAGATTAAGGTTAGCCTAGGAATGCCTACCTATGTTATCATCACATTTCCAACTGCAGTGTCAACAGACCTTTAATCTTAGATCTTTAACTTTAACTCCTACCATGGTGGGGGGGTGAGCCTAAACATGATAGATGCAATGGTGAACAGGTTCAAACAAGGACATAGCACTAAGAAGGGATGTGTTCTCTTCCCAGATACGGGCCATGGTCTTCTATTGTGTTAGAGCAGGTCGTGGTCTCTTCTATGGTACAAAACAAAGCTATGTTTTAACCAGGTCCTTAATATGATTTGATTTATAATGCAGATGGGTCTTCCTGAGTGCCAGTCTCAATTTTCTCACACACCTTTGTAGCAATAGCAATGCATATTTATTAACTGAGGTGGAAAGGCAATGCTAGTTTATCATGTTCACACTAGCTATTCCCTTGCTGGCTTCAATGTTCCCTCCCTTCTATATCAGAAGACTCCTGTTATGTCTCACTTCTCACAAACAATTCACTTGGAAGTGAAGTGGATGATCAGCACCTCTTCTTCCTCCATTTCACATTCTCTCCATCCCTCAAGTCCTGGTCCTGCAGTCCATGACAAATTCAACACTGTCTGCATTGTTCTTCCACTAAAGCCTGCTAAATCAAAGTCTGGCTATGTGGCCTAAGTAACCCGTATCAGTGGCTACAACAGCTAGGATTCTCTGGAGTACTTTAATGACTTTAGCACCCAATTCTTGCTTAAACTTCTTTCTACTCCTGCAGAGAGCTCTGTCAACATTATTAGTCCCAGACTTGTTTCCAACTTGCATCAAAGAGTGAATTAAACCGTGTTTCAACAGTGAGCCAGCTATGTGTCTGAAAGCGAGTTTGTAGTACGTTTCTGAAACCATATTAAAAGCATGGATCAGGTTCATCTTTCCTATGGGACCCATAATACCAAGGGATAGCTTGTCCCTACAACACGCCTGCTTGATTTGATCATCTCAGTGCCCTTCCCTAATGACAACCAAGGTCTTTGTCATAACCACTGCAATTTAAGTAAAACCTTAGCTCCTTTCCTTTTAACTCAGAGCTAGTTTTCTTCACGCAAGTGATATTCATCATCATGAGCACTCACACACACAGAAGTCAACATTAAGCCAGCAAGAAGGCATTCAGAATAAAATAACCCCTCTTCAAGCACAAACATACATATACACAAACAATATTGACAATGTTCATCAGCATGAGGACATGAGCTGCCTTTCAGAAGCATTATTTCACTCAGTGCAGAGTTGCTAATCACAGTTTACTTTCCATAAAGGAACCCTGTACAATGCAGATTCTACGATTCTCTCATGAGTCTAGAAATACAAACTGTTCCTCAAAAGGGATTTTTTGAGAGGGTGGATAATGCATTTAGTTTGTTTATGTGTGTGTTTCAAAATCCTCACTGCTGGTGAACATAAATTCTGGAAGTATTTATTCTGTTTATCTGCACAAGTACTCATGGGTAGCATTGTTAGTATTATATTTGCATTGCAGAACCACATAGAGCATCTTTTGTGTTTAGTGTTGTGCAGAAGGCCCTTGCCCTGAAAAATTTATCATCTAAACAGAAAAGTATAGGAGCAGAAAATAATGATATAGAAATGTGAGTGACTTGCTTGAGGTCATGTGACAGGTCAGTGATAAATATGAGACTGGAAATATCCCAAACATGGAGTCAAAACAGATGTCTAAGGCAGCCAAAAACAAGCTATACATTTTAAGGACAATTGTAAGGACCCAAGATAATATGTCTAGCACTTCTAGTCAGAAATACCTCACTGTAGGTACTCTGGCCTTTCCAACTTTGCTTCAAACCACCATTTGAAAGTGAAAAGGCAAAGAAAAAGAAAAAAAAAAAGAATCCAAATAAGTTCAGATCCTCCCTGAGAGTTTAGATCAAAATTGTGTTTAAAAATCTGAGGGATGGGAACTTTGGATTTTTACTCAAACTAGCTTAGCCATTCTTAACCCCAAGTTTAACTTCCAGTGTACTACAGAGATGCCAGATCTTGCTATATGGGCTGCATAAAACAGGAAAAAAGAAACTGGACCAATCTTTTCAATATCCCATCTCCAACTGCAGCCAGGTATCCGATGCCTACAATCAGTAGCTACAGGATAATACATCTGCAGCAAAAACTTCCTCCTGACTCCTAGTTAAGGATAAGTTCAAATTAATCCTGAAGCATGAGAATTTAAATTTATCTAAAGCAATCACTTGGCTGTGATTTTTTAATATTCACTTTAAAACCTCTGTGTATTCTTGGTGTTCTTTTTAAATACTACTAGGCTCTCAGCCTCAGCATCGTATGGCAATGAGATCTACTGGTTTGTCACTCGTACCACAAAGCTTATTTCCTTTTAAATCTGTTTTGAATATGCTACCTTAGGATTTTATTGCATGTTCCCTACTCACTCAGAATCTGAAGGCAGACTCCAGGAACATATCTGGAAATATATGTGAAGATGATGTTTAATTCCCAAACCATACATTTAAAATTTGGCTAATGTACATCTAAAATAAAAAATAAATACATAAATTGTATGTATTGTATGTACCCTCCCCCCACCATCACTATGTTGTTAAGGACTGTTAATGAAAATGCCGGGTTACTGAAAATTTATTCCATGATCTAATCAAATCCTGTCCTTGGTGAACAGACATGCACAGTATTGTTGGTCAAGTTAAAATGAGTGTATGTAGGAAGTATTAAAATAAAAAATTCCACCAAGAGAAGCTGAGCCTGTCTGAAAATAAGCAGCTCTTTAGCTTGCCCTTTTCCAAGGGAATATGGAACACAGACATCAAAGCACAGGACAGACTGACAGAAAGCCATCAAGACTTTTGACTGTCTCAAAGCCAATGCAGTGGTTTTGCTTGGTTCGTTTGTTGCTGTGAGCTTTGTTTCCTACCTGTCAATGATCACAGGGTCTGAGGGAGTCTCATTTCTGTTGCCACAACTCTTCTTTTCACAGCACCGGCTGGAGAGGGGAGAAAAACAAAAATGAGAGCATTACAGTGAAAATGCATGGAAAAAACTCTAAGCCTCACTTGACTCAATATAAGGCTCTATAGAGTTTTAAGTGGCCTCCAGGAATTTCTGACTTGGGTTTCTGAAGTGGTGAGGCAGAGGAAGTTAGGGTCCCAACATCCCTTTATTTTCAGTTGGACTGAAACCATTGGCTCCTTTGGCTTTCCTTTGAAAAATCCCAGCTAAAATTAAGAGAAATATGGTCACACTTTAGGCTAAAGCTCCATTTATAAAGGGCTTAAAAATGGATAACAGACATTTTAGCCACATTACAGACATGCATGGCCTGTGGTACAGATAATTATCTATAAATCACCTATAAATTAGACCATCAGTAAAAGGTGTTATAAGCAACCTATTGGCTTGTTGTATAGTAGTAATAAGTTATTCTATTAATTCTCTTTATTTATGTGGTTACCAAAAGCTTCAGTGGTGTGATAATATTGCCAGCAATACAGACTGGAGATCCAACCAGACTGTGCTAGCTAGAGCTCAACCTAGGTGGAGCCTAATCTTTAAGAAGGCTACATTCCTTTGGGATTTGTTTTGATGACGGTAATGAACCTTTTATATTAAGTTTCCATTTATAAATACAGCATGGCCAGTAATGTTAGGATATAGAAATAGCACTACTAACTCTCTGTCTAATGATGATACTATATATTGATTTGGACCCAGTTTACCAAGTTACAAATTATAACTTTTTACATCTACAGCATTCTGCATGTTTCTGGGGCTTTACAAGCAAATGCAAGAACAGAAGGTCCCTGCTTTATAGAGCTTACAAAGATGAATACTACTCAGGGACTACTTTTTAAATACATGATGTATGTGTATATATATGTGCATGCACATATATGCATAACTGGAGAGACAGCTGCTGCCCAATTCTGAGAGGCTCTAAGTCCTCTTCACTGCCATTGAATTCAGTGACAGTTTGAGTCACTCAGTACTAGCCCAGCACCTTTGTATCTGCCCTTTCTTTCTGAAAACAATGGGCCAGACCCTCATCTGCTATGCAGGAGTGTAATCTCATTGAAATAGACCTACACCGATTTATACCAGATGAGGATCTGATAGTTTGACACACAAAATAAAAACAAAACAAGACAAAAACAAAAAGGGGGAGGGGGGGGTCCCTGTTATTAGATCTGAAAATATGGAGATAAATTATCTCAAAGCAACAATGCACAAGTTCATTAGATGTAAGAGCATTCAGATGCTGTAATAAATCAGGCAATTTAATTTGAAATAACCAGGATATTAACATATGCAAAGAAAATATATGAGCAAAACCACTTAACTTTTTAAAAGACTACATCAAAATTCCCTCATGCTCAAAAATCCAATGGATGCCATTTTGCTCTCAGTTACACTAACATAATTCCAAGCTAGATCCATCACATTCAAGCAAAGTTGCTTTGATTTACGCCAACATAATCATGAGCCATATCTAGCCCAGACAATTTAATTTTATTTGTAATGCTACAAGGGGGATTGAATGCATTTTCAAACACCCTAGGAAGCCCAAATTCAGCTCTTGGAATGGCTCTTAGCAAGGAAAAACTGATAAAATAGGCACAAATGAACCCAATACTATATGAAGGATTACACCTTTCTAAAATGGGGAATATTCATATATAGAATACTTAAAACGTAAGTTGCTTAGACAAAAAAAATCTTCCATCTTGCAAGTAGGAAATATTTTGATCCATAGATTGCAATGCCACAAGGACTGAAAGACTTCCCCTTTGCAAGCTCATACAGCCCAGTGAGATAGAATGCAGCTATCAGTTGTAATCTGAACTACTTTGACACTTTTGCATTCCCTTTGCCTCTTTCCTGCATTCACTGAAGCTGTTCCTTTTAAAATAAAAGACTGGCAAGTCATTTAAGAGCCCCAAGGCAGACCCTTTCCTGGTGTAAGATGCCATAGCTTAATTGAAGTTAATAGAACTAGGATGATTTATACCATCAAGAATCATCCACTCTCAGTTGTAACTTTTTTTAAGAGTGCCTTTTACTTGTTTCTCCACCTAATAGCTGTTTCATAAACAGGGCTTGGGCTTTTTTTTAAATACAATAAAATTAAAGTTGTAGTTCTACAAAAAGAACAGAGAAACTTTATTGAGAAGAAAAAAATGTTGACATCTATTTTGCAAAATATTTTCTCTTCCACTGGTAGGCTCAACAAAAGGCTCTTGTGGTTGTTAAATATATTTGCAATGGTATAACTTTTTTATTGCTCACTGAAACAAAACTTGTTTCCTCTCTCTGTAAGAGTTTTAAAACATATCATAGAGTCTCATAATTGAGTCAAGTGGTAACGGTACAAATGTATCAGATTGGATCCTGCCACAATAGTGACCTGGCCGAGTAAAGCAATATTTCCAATACCAAGCATCTTGCCATCCCACATACACTTCCCAAAAGGTTCACTATTTTATAATAGAGTAAAGATTTAGACTGAATTACATGTATTTGGGATACAACAGAATGATTTCCTAGCGTAAAGCTTTTCACAACAAGGCTTTACAACAAGGTTTACTACTATATGGTACTAATTCTTTCCTAATAAAATATACCTTTTACCCAATGATTTCAAAGCATTTTAGAACTACCCATTTTCTTATCATTTGCCTTCAGTTTTACACATTTCAATTACATCACTAGAAGATTTTCTGTAACCCTCTGACTTTTGAGTCGCAGAATATATTAATTTCTCTTGAGAAACCAGCACTGCTGTCCACAAGATGACAAATTTAGATGTGGATAAGAGTAATTCTAAAGACTGGGAGATAATCTAATCAAGAGCATTAGCAGAAGTCCCACTCTAGTCTTCAGCTCTCTCTATCCAAGGAATTTTATCATAGTATACAAGTACCAACTCTCTTCCAATTGGTTTGTTACACAATGTCTGTGCTTAACAACACAAAACCTACTGACTCAAATGATTGGGTTTGTAATATTGGTTTAAACAGAAATTAAGGAACCAACCCAACTCATACTGCCACATTTGTGTAACATTATACATCATCCCTTTGACCCTAGAAGTATTACTCATTTACCTGAAGTCACAAAATCAGGGCTTAAGATTTATTAATGGTGAGCAAATTCTCACTACACTTTAAGCTACATTATTTTTCTGAATATCCACAAAGGATACTGTAGATTTTACAATCTGAAGCATGCCAGGGAAAAAAAAAGACGACGACAAAGCCAGCCCTAGGAACTAGATGCCCCATAAGGCTCCATGTCAAAGAAAGGCTTATGCCTTTCCGCCCCCCTCCACTAAAATGGTTTTAAAATTCAGCCCTCAACTTTCAAAAAAAAAAAAAATCTGTCTCTAATTTCAAACTCAAATAAGCTCACAGCATGGTGGCCTTTGTTTTGTTTTCTTCTCCCCAACTCCTCCCTGCAATTGCATAACAAAAGTGTCTAAATTCACACCATCTGGCCGATAAAGACACAGGCCCCAGTGGCCGCCTGGCCCAGCTGATTAGAGCTCCTGTCTAGCCTGAGCCTTGTGGCGAAAGTCACAGCTGTGGGGCTTGCTTGCACTCAATACAACTCTGTTATTAGCCAGCTGTAGGCCCTGAGACTACTTCTGTTCAAATTATAATACCTTTTAACCCTCTGAGCATTGAGGGCATAGGGGGTTGCTGGCAGCAGCATAACAACTAGTTTCCTCTTAGCTGATAATTGGTACAATGAAAAGAAGAAAAGTTATTCCATAAGAGGAGACTGTTTATCTTGATTTCCTACCACTGAGGAAAATGATACTGTTTATTTAAGACATCTCTACCACCTATGGATAGTACCCATCGGACTGCAAAAACCCCCAAAGTGGAAAACTTATCAGTAAAAATTTCAGCTCTGCAATAAATAAATAAATACCCAAACTGAATGTGCTAATTATTGGGGGCTGAGAATTAAACTTTCAATTGCTATGACAGATTGTTGTATCCGTATCAATATTTAGACAACTTTCCTGCTAAGCATACATCTGTCACTGTCTGAATAGAAGACGTGGGATTTTTGGATGCGCTTGTCTGTATACAGCATAGCTATATGTGTGATTATATGTGATAAATCAAAAGGGTATTTACCTGTCACTAACAAGGAAAAAATAAAAAAGACAGACCCCGTAATTTTAAAACATAATAGACATCAAATTAACCTATAGGTTGGGTACAGTATATTAATTTTTTATATACCGTTACTAATGCAAACTACGCAAAGCGCTTTAAAAATTGATGTTGCCATTTAAGAAATACAGAATGAAGAGAATTTGATTATTGTGCTTAAAAAAATGTCAAGTTTAACTAGAGTTGGATACATTCCCCTGGTATTATTCAAAGTGATGGGTAGAATGCCTCTTAAGAACATACAGCATCCTCTTTTTAAAGTACATGTGAACAAGACATTTAAAATCAAATATCATGATTAGGTTACACAGTGCTTTTGATTTGGTTCACTAATCTGTGTTTTACATGGAAAGGACATCCCTGAATTGCAATTCTTCTTGGCTAATCTATCAAGCAGGAGTTCAGTACAATCTGAATAATGGTTTACATTTGTAGAACACTACCTTAAATCAAGCATGGAACATGTTTATGGACATCAAATGATGCCCAATATACAAAAGCTTAGGAGAGAGTTTAATAATTTTTAAATGTTAATTTCTCACAGAAAAAAAACAAACAGTCAATTTCTGTTTTTAAAAAGTAAGTTGCATTGGGGTTTTTATACTTAATACAGAAGCTTTCTACATATGACAACAGTGGAAAAAATGTAAAAACACTAGGTGTCATTTTATTATAAGAAATAGAAAGCCTAGTGTATAGAAAGCCAAATCCTTTGCTTTTCTGACATTTATCTAGGTATGGATAAGTAAGACCTTCATCATAAATCCAAATACATTTTTATTTTAATATATATGCTAAGTTCTAGAGAAGCCAAAAAGCAAGACACCTCAAATCAATTTTAATCAACATACACAAAAATACATAGTAAGTGGTGTGATATGTACACATATGCATATATACACATGTATACACATGTATACTTAGAGGGGTAGGGGGGTGTGTGTGTGTGTGTGTGTGTGTGTGTGAGTGTGAGTGTGTGTCACTGGAAGCAATGGTATACAGTTTCAAAGATAATGAGGTCAGAGTATATTAGGAGTAAATTCTGCCCGCTTGGCGCTTATGTATACATATGTGTGAAAAGAGATACTACACATTTTACATACTTCACCCTCATTATAGCTTTGCAATTAGACCAACTATCCTATTACCCTTGGAACAATACAAGTAGCCCTAAACAACAAATTTGATTCTATTACATTGCTTTCACTACATTATTCACTTTAAAAGACAATACCAAGAACTTTTAAACTACAGCACTATCTGATTTTTTAAACAAGCAAAATTGAGCTTAACAGCTTAAAAATACTATTACAATAAGTCACAAATGTGTTTAATAAAGGTCAAAGTTGGTTTTGCCTTTCATTTTATGAAAGAACATTCTGTGCACAATTTAACGCATTTTAATATAAGAACACGAGCTGTTTGCATTATTACATGTATTGAAAAAAAATTTAATTACATGAAAGCAGGAAAAGTAATAAGTTTCCATGGAAGCAAGATGTACATACATTAGATACATATACCTACAGACTTCCACTAATGTTATTAAAAACATCCTTAACTGTATTTTATCCTCTAATTTATCATCTTAACATCCTAAAAACAGCTTAAAACTGTGTCTATTTTATTAAAAGATAGAAGCTCCATAAATGTATCTTGTTTTAAAATGTACTGAAAGGCAGCGTTTCTTTTCCTCAAGAAAAAAGGCCATTATATTATGTTCATTTAATTGATAATGTTAAAATATTTCATCAGGGAAAAAATACAACAAGAACACTTTCTAATTTCTAAGCAGGTTCTGCTAGGTGACATTTTAGAAACAGAAACTGCAATATTTAAAGAAATACAAAGTTTAGACTTTCGGGGCGTCTCCTTTTGCTGTTTAACTTCAGTTAACAGACAAGAAAAAACCTACGGCAGTTAAGATTTTACTTTGGCTTTCCAGATCTGTTTCACTAAAAAAAATTGTTTTTAGCTGAACCAAATTTTATCCCAATGTAAAGCGAAATCCTTCCTCAGGAACAGAGTTCCTAGCAAAGAAGCAAAACTCCTGATACCTACTGCTTCTACAGCATGACCATTTTAACATATATGGAAACAAACTTTTTTATCACTGTTCCATTTTACAGAATAAATCCTATGCCCTCAATAAAATTATCTTACCTGCACATGACTTCATGAGTAAGCAGAACTCTGCACATTTCTGGATTCTTGTTTTGTCCTTCGTAAGTGATGGGCTATAAAAATTAAGGAAATGTAGTGAGCCAGTGTAGAAATGACTTTTTGTATCATTTATAATATTTGTTTTTTACTTCAGTTTCACTATAGTTTGTAAACCCCAGTCTCCAATACTTTCTGCACAGGGTCTTCAGTATCTGAATAATAAACCATACTGAAAAACCATTAAAGATAACCCAAACACAGAAAAAGGAAGCAGCTTGGTTTTTGTTTTTCAAATGCAGTCAAAATTAAGGTATGCAATATAAAGGGGAAGAGGTGAAAATAAAGGGGAAGGGGCCATGTGGGGGAAGAGGGGAAAATGATGTACAAGAACCAGGCAGCTCAAAGGGCAGGGCAGGGATGAGATGGTACAGATTGTAAACTAGGCTCACCTGCTTAGTGACTGAATCGATGAGTCTAACATACAGATCCTGTTCAGTTCTGACACCTGGAGAGAAGGGGAAAATAGAAAAGTCAGGGTGAAGACAGCTTTCTCTACTCCTCCAAGCCAGCAGGAAGTTATCTATTTAATTTTAACTATAGCCTATTCAAGCAACCTTATATGATGAGATGGTGTTTTTCTCAAGCGTTAACCTAGAGAATCTGCTCTCCATAAATGTGGGTTGTGGCTGCCAAAGTAGACAGAGGTATTTCAATGTATTTCATACATGGACTGCTGCAAATTTGAAAACTTTGTTCTAGATTCTTACCTACGAAAAGGGAAGAGGCAGTTGGGAGGGGACTTACCATTGCTATACAAAAGTTGAAGTTTGTAGTGTGTGCCATTGTTAGTTTTTTCATTGCCTTGTTCCTGAAAGAAAGGAAGATTTTGAAAAAAAAATTGGTGCACTTCATGCACAAAGGCAACATGACTGCAATTCATTATGGATGTGACAAGAAAGTTCATTAAGATTCTGAGAGGTGGATTCACTGATTGAGATAAATTAACCTTCTGAGTGACCCAGGACAAACTACAAAATGCAGCTTACATCCTTTCCTGTAGGAGTTGCAGAAAACTTTTCCACTGACTACAACACTTCCAACTTCACAGTGTAACATGCTCTTCTCCTCTGGGCTGAGTTTGCAAATTTCAAGCAAGTTAATCTGTATATAGTAGTTTGGAGGGTTTAAAAAAACTGTGCATAGAAAATAATGAAATGGTTGTGGGGTTTTTTTTAACATAGACACTATCGACATTTACTTCCTGAAGGCTGTGTTACTGGGAAATAACTGGATGAACTGCGACTATCAGTTATCCAAAGACAAGTATCTATGGAGTACTTATTCATTAAAAGTCCTTCCCTGCTACTTAAAAAAAAATGTAAATAAATAATAAAACAAAGATAGTGCTTCTAACTGCTTAACACCTGGACCTAAAAAACACAAAGCACGAGTGTCTGACAGCCCGACCCTGACTTCAGAGTCTTTTTTTTTTTTTTTAAGTCAGGCTTAGCAGATAACATGACAAATTACTGCTCACCCTTTCAACTCGATTAGGGTACTAATAAAACCTGACAGATCTGGCAGGAGCAAAAATAAGGTATTTGACCTTCGGGAGGGTTTGTGTTGTTGTTGTTGTTCAAATAGATGCATTTGAATGTTCCCTCCTAACTTCCCGAGATGGTTGAAAATTACAAGTCGTGTGAACTGCAAGGGCAGGACAAGGAAGCACAGAGAGCCACAAGCTGAAAATCAGTCCTAGGTGGGCAACCATGGCTGGCAATTTTATTAGTAGGCAAGGGGTAAGAGGCTCTCCTTCCAAAAGCAGGTAAGTAGAGGGCGAACCGAGAGCGTTGGATGGGGAAGGGCAGAAGGTGAAAACAAGAACAAAAGAGAGGAAGCCTTACTTTATCATTTTCTACAAAGTCCACAAAAGCGGTCCGCTCTATCTCCACCGGCTGCCCCTGCCTGTCGTAGAGAGCCAGGACAAAATGGAAGAAATTGGATTTCCTCAAGTTGGAAGGTGGCTGCTTTTCAAAGTGGGCTCTAGACAAGGCTACTCCGCTGTGGAAGAAACAGATGGAAGAGTTGGGGAAGAGGGGGAGAGACAGATAAATTAATGGTCGTGTAGCAATAAAACATACACACAACACAACACAACACAAGACACGGGAGGCAGCCAGGACAGACAGGGGCCGCGGACACGAGCACCGGGTGATTCACACGCGTTTGTCACTGATGACTTTGATTTTGGCGTTTCCCGCGAGCCCTCATCACCTTCCGTTTGCAGCTCGCGTTTTGGGACTTCTCTTTTTGAGAAGCAGTGCCTGGAAACGTTACTCCGTTTACTTTTGTCCCGATTTACACTTGGGAGGGGAAAAGCCCAGCGAGAGGGAAGGTTGCCGTAGAAGCTGCTGCAAAGCCGGAGGGTTTTTTCACAACCCGCCCAGCTCCGGGCTGGGATAAAAGGGCAGAAAGAGGGGATCGGTTCAGAGGAGTTCACTGCTCTTCCTTTACACCCTGTCCGCACAGCTCGTCCCCACGCCTGGCCACTTTCGCAGCGCTTTGGCTGGGAAGGCGGAGGTTGCAGCAGCGCCTGTTGCCCCCCGTAGGAACGTCTCCGGCAAAGCCCCGGAGCCGCGGAAGTCAATATCGGCTCGGCGTCCCGAGCAGCCTCAATGTGGTCACACAAAGCGCTGCACGAACCCCGCTGACTTTCCGAGTGTGAGAGTCAGTCGGGATCTTCCCACAACGCCAGGATTTCTACAACCCTGTGCTCAAGAAGATGCGCTTCTGCTCCCTTTTTGCCCCGATTTCTAGCTATTGTCCAGGGAACGGACAATATCAAATTAATTCTTTCTCCAAACGAGGCTGAATCACTGCACTCCTCTCCGGTGATGCTGTAGCCTTGTGGAAGGTACCTGAGCCCTTTCGGAAAGCTTTCCCTAGCATGCACCTTTCACCCCCATTCCCAAAGAAGACTAGCCAGCGCCTAGCCTCCTCGCCCTGCCCCGGCCCGCACCGTGCCGAGGGCTGGATCCCTGCAGCCCCTCGTGCTGCGGGCTCTGCTCTGCCCGGCTTTCTCAGGTCACCTGCAGGCAAGTCCTTTTACTTTCGCTTTCCCCAAGAATACCGAGGTGATTTTCGCCCACCTCCCCGCGCTTCTCCCGGACTGCTCAAAGTTCTGCCTATAGACCAGAGTCTCTGCTGCGGATCAGTCGCTCCCTGCCCCTCAGCTTCTCCGTCCCCAACTTTTGCTCAGGCCGGCCCCATTCTCCTCTCCTCACGTGTGCTTCAGGCTTCCTACACAAGGAGGGAAACTTGTTACGCAGAGCAGGGTTTTCAGTCCTGCTCCTCCATAAAAGAAGAGAGTAGGAGAGAGAACCCATGTCTTGACAAGGGGGCTGAAGACTAGCAGCCGTAGGTGGCGGGGGGTCTGCGTTTGCCGGACCCGGACTCAGACCGCAGCCCCTTCTGTAGGCGGGCGAGGCCGCATCGGGCAGCTTCACCGCAGACCCTCGAGTCCCTCCGTGCTGCGGACCCGATGCTCTCTGTGCTGTCCTGCGGGAACCTGGAACTCGCTCCTTCCCCGACCCCCTGCCCCTCTCTCAGGCTAGCATTAGCGGGGACTGTGGGCGAAAAGCTCACCCGCGAAGATCAGCAAGACCAAGTCAGCACTTGGACGAAGCAAAACAAAGTTGAAGCTGAGGAAACAAATACATGCCCGTCTGAACGGGCTTTGAAACTTGAAGCCCATTCCACACGCGGCTTAAGCAGTTGCCGTTAGTTTGCATCGCTACGTGCAAATATTCTCCCCTTCAGCCAGAAAGAAACATGCCCCCGGTCCTTCGCAGCCCCGCCGGCAGACTGGACCCTACTTTCCTGACGCTCTCCGGGGCAGGCGCCTGTCCCTCATCCTAGCGATTGCTTTGCCCTTCTGATTTTTCAGCGGCTGCAAAGGGAAGGGGGCCGGAGCCACTGGAGGGCTAGGGAGAGAAGCAGGCCGGGTTGGTTGTTACCTTTGTGCCGCCACGTTCGCATCCACAACCCCAACGTTCCTGACCCAGGACCTGACGGAGTCCATCTCGGAGCCTAACGCTTTATCTTTCAGAATGGGTCCTCTTCCTAAAGTATCTTGAATCCCAAACATTTAAAAAGTCTATTCCAAACTATCAATAGTTTCCTTAAGAGGAGCAGCCTTGGAAACGGAAACACACACACACACACACAAATCCCAAGAAAGCGGAGCTCGGCTTCCAGAAACAACTTCTTCAGCTGTTAAAGGCTACGCAATTTATTACTTTTGTCAATGCCTTCAAGAACAGTAACAACGATCAAAAGTTTGTTCCTCTTGCAAGGTACAGTTATGCTGATTCAGTCTCGCCTGGTACTGTCATCTTTCAAGCGCACGAGAGGAAGCCGCGTCCAAAAGTGATCGCTGTGAAGAGGGCGCGCCTCCCTCTCAGACACGGGGACTGACGGCTGTCTAATCCAAAAGGAATCGGGATAAATTGTGAAAGAAAGAAGAAATGGAGCTAAAGAGAGTCCGATTACACACTACACCGGGAAGGCGCAGACACTTCCCCAATCTAGTCACCATGAATGTGTTAAAGCAATGGGAGAAAACACTCCAGGACAGGGGCGTGGCGTGCCCCCGTATAAGGGACTATATTTGCATAGCCTCCCCTGATTGGAGGACAGCGGACAGTTATAGAACTGATATACACCAGCCCCGCCTTCCAACTGCAAGCGCCTGCCAATGGGAGAGGGGAGGGGGTTCAAACGCAACAGAGTTATCCCACTTTCCTGGGTGCAAGTTTCTTCCCAACGTAGTTTGCTTTCGGTGTGTTACACACAAACGAAACCCATTCCGGCAATCGGAGATTTGCAGAAGTCACCACAGTTTTTCTGCCACCCGAGTGACTGCGGATTGCATTTAGGCTGTACAAAAAAGTCACTAAACCCGTGCCTGAGCCTGTCCGAAAGCAGGCTGCATTGTTACTACTATTTAAGGGGCGCGGATAAAAAGATGCTCGGAGCTAATCAAAATAAACTGGGGATCTGGGAAGGAGGTGGTTCCCTTGTAGAGAGGAGAGGTTGGCGACAGACTGGTGGGCAGTGTGTGCAAGACAAAAAGGTTACCAGCACATGCAATGCACCCAAAGCCTGCGGCAGAGCTGTCAAATCTATCCTTAAAAAACCACAACTTTTCTAGAACGTCGTCTCTAGGCAAAAAAGCGACGCGGGACAGAACAGCTATTTCCATCAAAGGCCAGAGTAGTATCCATTTTAAAAAAAAAAATCTCACTCGTTTGGTGTTATTTTCATCACGGCCCTTTTGTATTCTGATCTGGGTATGGATCGGCCCCTGAAATCTATATAACACCAACGCGAAAACAGATTTCAAGACAATGAATGCAAATCTGTGCTCAGAGACCATCTGCCAGATGAGGGAATCAGATGTTCCGTAGTTAAAGGGACAGCGCCTGGATATCCTCCGCTCATTATGTGCAGCCCCTCTCCTTCACCTGCATTTATGGGGAGGGGGAAAGATACACCACGTTTCTTTTCACTCCGAGCGGTTCAATCATATCCATCAGCACTGCGCTTCAAGTGCCTAACTTTGTACTGGGCGGTAGATAATGATGTCGAGTTTAAGGGAAAAGAAAACCCCCCGCACATTCCAAAATCTTTTCAAGACTTTCAGAAAATGTATCTTTCATTCGAGCGCGACTGGACGGCACCAATGCACGACCCTAAATTACTGTGTGACAGACCTGCTCGGAGATGAACTAATACATCTCCTGCGATCCCTGTTCCAAGATCTTTACTACGCTCGCCTGGATAATTACCACTCGCGCTTTTTCCGCCTAGCTAACGGGATTAGCTGGAGTTATTTTTAAAATGAAACAACCCCCATTCAGTTTCTAAGCGCTTTCCCCGAACGAGCAATATTCGCTTATTCAGATGCAATGCCGCGCTGCAAAGAGCCCGGCTTGTTTTGGTTCTCCCCCAGAAAAACCAAGGGGGTTTCAATCCAAAACCAGGGACCCGGGGGGGGTGGGGCACAAACCCAGCGGGGGGGGGGGGGGGGGGGGGGGCGGGGCGGCTGTTTCAATCCAAAGGCTCCCATAAGTGGGTTTCCAGACACGGGAAGGTGCTTCCCCCACAGCTGGAAAGGCTGTCGATCTTCCTGTACACCTCAAAAGAGAGCCCTTTTTCTTTGTATTATTCCCAATTCCTGGGACTGCCGCGAATCCAACTGCCCTCTGCCTCGATCCCTGCACTTGGGATGGGCACATGCCACTTGGTCTAGAATGGGTTTATAGAGGGGAACCAAGCTCCGTGCGACGGAGCCCACAGCAATGTGTTAAAACCGGATCCTGCAGCCGCTTGTTCTATACAGCCTCACAGGTTAAAAATCTTGGTGGAAACTTCGGCGCCTCGTTGCGTGCGTGCGCGGGCGCTGACACTGAGGTAATGTGTCAGCTTTGCGGACAATGGGGATTCGTGTGCCGCGCTCCCTAGGGGAGCCTGCCTTTTAGGGCTTAGGAAAAGGGGCAGAGGGCACCGGCTCCGGGCAGCCTCCTCGCTCCCAACAGCTGCCACCAACATTTTGCACTTCAGGAACAAATGAATGGATCCTTTCCCCCACCTTAGCCGCCAGCCAGGTTGCTGTGCGGTGGCGCGCGGGGGGTGGGGGCTTCCCTTCCTCCGTTTTCAATGCCAAGTTAACCGGTTGCGGGTGCCGGGAGGTCGAGAAGGAACTCCCGAGCCCCCGCGCCAGGATCTTGGTCCGCCGCCGGCGCTTTGCAGCGGGGCTGGGGCACTGGCCTCTTCCGCCCCTCGCAGCCCAGAGCATTTCTGCTGGGGGGCGCCTTTCCCTGGACACCAGCTCGCCCTTTGGCTCGAAAATTAGAATTAAAGTACTGCTTTACGGGAGACGAGCCCCAGCTTCAGACTCCAAGATTTGGGTTTCCAAACTCTGGGCCAAATTCAGTTGCACATCCCCCCCACCAGGGCCGCTGATGCGAGCCGGGCTTATTCCGGATTTGAGCCGGTGCGGACACAGCTGTTTGGATCTTTTTGAGCGCATCCCGGTTTTGGGAGGCGGGTGGGTGGAAAATGGCATTGCAAAACTGCAGGGGGACGCGTGCGTGTTTGGAAAAAACTAGAGGAACAAAGCATGTAACAGGGCAGCTCCCTGCCCTGCCCTGCCGCGGGCCGCCTGGGAAAGGGAAGGGCACCTCCAGGCAGACTATGGCAGGGGAGAAAAGGGCGCTGGGAACCTGCCGCCTGGGCAGGTCGGGGCCAGGCGCTGCTGCGGCTGGAGCAGTAAGAGCAACGGGAAGGCGCCGAGGCTCAGCGCGCGAGGCCAGTGCCCGCGGGGCAGAGGCAGGGTCTTAGCCCATCTGCCTCGGTGCCTCCCTGTAAGCCAGGCAGCGCTGCAGTTGCTGGGTTTGGACGCCAGCCGATCTGTTCGGCTTAATGATCACAAACATGCCAGTTCCCAGTTGCACGCACGGAGCTTTTCTTTCAAACTGCTCCCTTTATTGCTAGGTCCTTTTTTCCCCTCCACACTTGAAAGACTCTCCCCGGCGATCCCTGCCTGTGCCCAGCCCTAACCCTGCTGCAGGCGGGTGGGAAGTGCCAGGGGAGGAGGGCAGCCTGGCATGGCTCGTGTCAGGTGCTCTCCTTTCTTACACAATGAACAGGAGACGATTGCTTTTGCCTTCTCTACTCAACCCGAAGCCCTTAAGCTGCAAGATTTCGACTCCAAGTATTTCAAGCAGTGGCTCGGAGTAGCCTCATTTTTTAAAACTCTTCTCCCGCGCCCGTGGGAAAATCAGCTGAAGGAGGATGAATTGAAAGCGCCCGCAGAGCACGGTGAAGAGAGGGAGTCAGGGTATTTAAAAACCTCCAGTTTATAGTGAACAATGTCAGAGTGGAGAGAAATTACCGTTTTTCCCCTTCATCTCATTATTTGGTTTGCATAGGGGAAGTTCCACTTCGCATCTCCAACAAAAACTCACCTTGCTGTTCCCGCTTACCTAAAGAGCCACGTTTCCCAGCGATCGCCTTAAATAAAAATCAATACAAGTACTCAGCAACCGCAAGTGCATTCTCCACAGCCCATTGCACCTGTTAGATACTCTGGTTTAACAGAAGCAAGCCCGGGAAAACCCGGGCAGGGTAAAACAAATGGTTTACTTTCCCGCTGGAGTGTGTGGGGAGGAGAATTACAGACAGATTGTGTGCTGCTCTCAAGTCCTGAAATGAGAACGGTATGGGCAGGAGTCTGAAAACCCTCGACACGGATCTGGATAAGAAATTTACTTCAGCTGATCCCTGCACTATATTCCTGATTTATAAGACCCTCAGTTAAACCGAAGTAAAATTGCAACGGCAGGGGGATTTTTTTTTGTGGTTCCGTTTTGAAAGTACATATAAAATAGTTCAGAGCGGGAGATTTAATGCCGGTCAGCTGTAGGCGACTGACAGCCAAGGAATAAACAGCATTTAGTTGTAACTGCAAGTATAAAGCGAGGACGCCGCTAATTTAAGCACCTTGGATTATAATTACAAAGCAGTTTCACAATTCACCATACCGGTTCTTTTAAAAGGAAGCTCAGGTATCATCTGTCTGTTGCAAAAATCAACACTAAACGTACAGTGCTTGATTCTCCTCCCTCTTCTTCCCCCGCCATTAGGAAATAACCAGAAACGTGGTTTTATAGCTCTAAAATCTGGCGCTATACTTTTTCCCTCCTCCCTCTCCCATCATAAAGGCACTATTTACTGTGGGAAACTCTCCCCGCTAATCAGTGCTTATAAAATGCCTGTTGCAGGCACTGCACTGATCACTGCTTTAAAAACGTGCAAGTTTTAGAGCTTCGATTGATCACTGAAACTTTCATGTTCATAACTGAAGATCAATGGAATGCCTTCAAACTTACACATTCATAAGTAAACATTTAATAACTTCTCCACCTCATCTTTCCCCAAAGAGAGACAAATACCTATCCATCAGAATATCTTTGGAGCCTCCCATTCATTCCAAGTAGGTGCTTTTTCACTAAAACAGAAAACACAGCTGCTAGATTTTATATCCAACTTTTTTAAAGATACTTTTACTGCTTTTTGCAAAGCATGGTTTTTGGAACATGCTAGCAAATAATATTTTACCGTCGGGAGTGTATGTTCCATTTTACTGTATAATGCAGATTTGAAAAGCCTTATTGCTGGAGTGTGTTTTTCTAACCACATGTAGGTTTCAAGCAGCAAGCACATTCAGTAAAAACACTTTAGGTGGGTATACGTTTGTACTAGGATCGTCTCATTTTTCAGTTCAGAGAAAACTAAGGAGGTATTTTTTTTCAATCTGTGTATAAAGACATATTTACAAAAACCCAAGTCAGGAAAGGCAGACCTTGAGGTTAGTGACTTCTTAATTTTTCCACATTGCAGTTAGCTCTCTCTTTACACCAAATTACTTTCTGAAGGAAAGAAGAACTAGACTCTTGCATTGAATAGCAGAAGACACATTGAATAGCAGAGGTGATAATCCAAAATGATTTCTCTTGT